AATCCTCGAACTCGACGAGGACGGTGAGGTTGGGCACGGCCTTCAGTAGCTGGCCCACGTCTTGCGGGAACTCGCTCCGTTTGAAGAGCGCGGTCTCGGTGAAGAGCAGGCCCTTGACGGCGACGTTGATGTTGAGGCTGTACAGCAGACAAGCGCCCGTCAGCACGCGGGCCGACCACGAGTCCGGCCAGAGCCGGGGTGGCGTCGTGGGGACCTCGCACAACCGCGCATGCTGTCTGAACAGGGCATCCCCGGCCACGGCCCACCAGCTCGGCGTGGAGTGCGCCGCCGTCGTCAGCAAGCGCGCGATGGGCACGTGAAGTGCCGCAGAGATCCAGATACCGATGGTCGCTAGGAAGGCCCAGGACGCTGTGCTGCTGTCCCAAACTAGCGCGAAGATTTTGTCCCAGACTCGCGGTCTGTCGTCATTCAGGTTGCAGCGCGCCATGATGTGGACGGCCTTGTGCAGAAACGGCGCCGTCGCCCGCAAGAACTTGATTCTTATCCTGGACATGACCATAGGCCCAAGGACTACATCGGTAATATCCTCGAGATCACTCAGCGGCTTGGTGAAAGTACCGTTGGGGAAGTCCTTGCTCTTTTCGGCATAGAAGTGCCACCACTTGACTGTGACGTTCCTGTAACGCGCCACGGCCGCCATGATTTCCTGGCCAATTACCGACTGGACGGACATCTGTCCCTTATCACCGTCGCACTCATCTTCTTCATTGATAGAGAGACTAGCGCGCATGACGCAGCCTCCAAGGTCACTGGGCACGACGCTGTCCTCGTCGTACAGCGTGGCTGGCAAGGTGGAAAGCTCGCCGAAGTGGACCGTTGCGACGGGGACGACGACAGGAGCTTGATTGCCACACAGCCCGGATGCGTTGGCAAAGGGCGCCATCGTGTACAAGACCCCAGACTCAGGCCCCGCCACCAGCACCGCAGTCCGCGCCCACAACCGGGACCAGGTTCTCGCCATCAGCTCGTGCACCAGATGTTCCACGGAAGAGCGGTTGGTGCTGTCTTCGTCCGCGCGCACGACGATCATCATTCTGGTGTACCAGTTTGAAGTGTGAAGATCGGACATTTCCTGAAGCACTTTCTTTGCGTTCGCTAAAACCATGACTCCCACGCCACCTCTCGGCGGCCAGGCTTTGGAACCCGGGCACAGAGGGATGACCGGTGTGTAGTACAAGTGCTGCCGTATCCAGGGCTGGTGCGTCTCCGCGTCCACGAGACATAAAGCAAGACCTCTTCTAGGTGACGTTATCATGTAACGCGTCGCCAGAACGCCAAGCAACTCCACAAACTGGACATCAGATGACCTGGAACATTACAGAGATATACTGTGGCTCCAAACGCTGTAAATGTGGCACACGGTGAAATGTATTGAGACAATGCCCTATTCGTACAATGCCATAGGTTACACTCCGTGTGATGCAAAGTCATCGTACAAACTGGTAAGGTGGGAACGGTTTCAAATCACTGCGATTGACACCATCCTCAGAGCGTTTAGATCATTATTGAAGAACATCAAACGGAGCAATTCTTCTGGTTTGTCCTAACTTGTACCGTTGTTTCATATTGAGGAGAGACGCACTGAAGCCGTGGATACATAGCAGCGTCAAGACAGCAATCCTCAGCAACCTGTGTGGACACATTGGATTGCGTTTGATCCGAGTTGTATGCCAAAGGTTTCTCTTCAGGGACGTTGTACCTGCAACTATGATTCATTGGAAATGTGGAACCCCTGCCCGGCTGGCACACGATAAGCCTCGAGTGCGAGAAATGGAATGCGTATTGACCCCGGTAATGTGATTTGCACGCCACTACACTTACGAGACAGACAGGCTGATTGAATGGCACCAAAACACAGCCAACACATTGTTGCCACACGTCACTTCATGTCGCAAATGCTTCTTGGCGTAATGAGAATACACTCGTGTAAATCTTGTCAGAATGTCACAAACCTGTCTGAAAACCTGATCAAAATTCGTGCACCTCTGAAAGCTGAAAACATCTCCGGACAGTCTGTAGAACTCAAACCGTCAATATCAGAGTAAGTGTTCAGAATTTCACACGGTAAAAACAGAACCTGGTTTTCCCAGGAAGCCTATGGTAGAGACATAGGCGATTTCCAGGGAGCTCCTGGGAAAACCAGGAACCGTTTTTACCGTGCAGCTTTCAGAGGTGCGCGAATTTTGATCAGGATTTCAGACATGTTTCTGACATTCTGACAAAATTAACACGAGTGTAACTGCCGTACATCATCAGCGTGAGATTCCGGGAGGAGTTTCCCGCGCTTGGTTCGACAGTGCAAGTGCCCCAGTGAGGAAATCTTTGAAATTTTCGATTCTGAACAGGATTACAATTTGTTGTACTTTGCCATGATAAATGCACTCTAAATGTCTTACGAAGAAATTTCCCATAACATAACATGGTACAAATTTCATTGTAAGACATTTAGAGTGTGGGGAAATAGTTAATCCCTCGTCAGAATAAAAATATTTGCCAACTTTGAACCCGTAGACACACCCTCTGATTTTCGTTCAGCTCTGAGCAGGTGCTCACCAAAGGTTTTTTTTCGTACGCAGCTTTTTTAAATGAAACCATAAGGGCAGAAATGGTTCATAGTTTTTCCAGAGACTCCCTGTGGGAGTCGCATGCATCATACAGGCTGCCCCAAGAAACCAGGAGCCGAGTTTGCCGTACACCGCGTTTAGTACCATTCCGAGCCAGGTGCTCATTCAGGTGTCTTCCTTTTTGCGCGGTGGCGCTTCACACAGTGCTTCACACAGTACGGTGGCACGCGGTGCCGCAGCGCAAACGACCCAAAACAACTGCCGTGCGATGGTGGCTGGAAAAAGCTCTAACATGGCCAAAGGCCGACCCGCCCTTTGAGCACCGGGGATGGAGGGGGAGAGAATGAGAGAGAGAGAGAGAGAGAGAGAGAGAGAGAGAGAGAGAGAGAGAGAGAGAGAGAGAGAGAGGGACAGAGAGAGAGAGAGAGAGAGAGAGAGAGGGGCAGTAGGGGCAAAGACCTCCCCCACCTCGGCAACAATCCCGGTCCAGATCTGCAGCGCCCGGTAGCGCCCTTTGAAGTCCCGCCAGTTAGCAGGGCCAGGCCGGCCAGGCAGGGCGGGATGCACGTCAACAGGAAGGGCCGGGAAGGGCGCACCGCGGTGCCTGAAGGCCGTGGGGGAGGGGGAGGGGGGAAGAGGGGTGGAAGGGAAGGGCAGGGAGTTCCTTGTAAGGTGCGAAGGAAAACGGCTGCTGCTTGTCCTTTATTTTCTCGACCCATCATTCCGAGCAGCCAGCACTCGTCGCCAGGCCAAGGCTTGGACCCCCCCCCCCCCCCTCCCCCTCCCCCTCCCCCGCTCTCCTCTCCTTGGCGCCCCGTCGTCGGCCAGGGTGGCGCCGAAAAGTTTCCCCGCGACTGCTACTTCTGGCCGCCCTCGGCCCGTCCGGCCCTTCGGCCCCCGATTTAAACCGTAAGTTGGGCAAACAGAACTTGCGCGTTTTAAGTGAGTTATGGAGCCGATAAAGACACCCCGGGGCGTGGCGTGGCACGGCGTGGCGTGGCGTGGCGTGGCGTGGCGCGGTGCGGCGTGACGTGGGGTGCCAACGCAGTGGCACGGCGTGGCACGGTGTGGCGTGACGTGGGGTGCCAACGCAGTGGCAGCGGCGTGGAGAGGTCGACGCGGACCGAAGAGTTGTTTCGTTTGATTTTGTTTCCTTTGACGCACGATTACCTTTGCAAGGATTCGACATGGCTGGCATGATGAGCTCAGTCCTCTCCGATTGAGCCCCGATGTCCTTAGCCCCGACTCGAGCCTCGACCTGAGCCCCTTGAACCCCACGCCAAAAATAGAATGGCGCCTTGACGAAGTTCTACACGCAAAAAAATAATTTTCATCAGAGCTAAAAAATTAGCACCGGCACCAATAAGATTAGCTCTATAGGCGCAGCTAATTTTTTAACTGTGTGGCTAAAAAGTGTTAGCTGGGCGATTCTAGCAACGGGTCTAACGGCCTAGCTGGAACTCTAAGGAATCCCTAGCTGTAAACCAATCAAATCTTGCTGATGAACTACTTAAGTTGTCTACCCCCTGGGTATTCCGAGATGGAAAGATGAAACCATCATTACGAATAATGTCTACTCCTTGTGGTCTAACGGTCACGGACACATCCCAAACAGTACGCTGACGTCAGTGACTCTAGACGCGCTCACGAATCACTTAGTATTGCCTGCTGGAGTCAAGTGCCAGTCCAGCAGGGGAAGCGACCCGCCTCCTGGCGGGCAATTGTAGAAACGATGGCGCCCAGACTAGGTGAAAACGCATGCTACACCGTCACCGCGCGCGAGCGGCGGCGCGACGCGCGCAGCGCACTCTCGCGGCGATCTCCTCCACCGCGACGGCGACTGGACGACGATGACATCAACTGGTCTCGTCAGATCGCATTTAGCTTGTTTACTAGAAATTTTTGAAGGCTTGCAAACAATAGTTAGCAGCTCACGACTAGCAGTATTAACAAACAAAATTGGCTAAATCCGCCACAAATTTGTGTTTTGCGAGAGTGGTTGCTTGGCAGGTAACCAGCTATACATCTGGCCGCGCGCACCTGAGGTCGCTTGTAGCTGTGCTAGTTTTTTAGCGCCCGTGCTAAAAACGATCTGATAAAAAAATTAACACAGGTCTGATTTACATTTTTTTGCGTGTAGGTGGAGTGTGTCACGCGAATGTTTCTGTTTGTGTTGGAAGTTTTGTTTCTGTTTGTTTGTTTTATTCTTTTGTTTCTTTATTTGTTTGTTTGTGTGTTTGTTGGTTGGTTTGTTTCCTTTTTGTTCGTTCATTCGTTTTTGTCATTGCTGATTTCCTTGTTTGTTTGTTTGTTTACTGTTCTTGTTGGTGCTGTTTGTTTGGGTTGTTTTTGTTCCTTGTTTGTGTTGGTTGTTTGATTGCCGCTAACGCCGCCCCGCTCCCCTTTGTGTTGCAGGCGGCGACTGCCTGAGCAATGTCAAGCTGGCGGTCATCCCCCCCGCCGTGCAGCTCGGCCAGTCGGTGCGGCTGGCGTGCGACTACGACCTGGACGGCGGCCGCCTCTACACCATCAAGTTCTACCGCGGCCGCTACGAGTTCTACCGCTACACGCAGACCCCGAAGGGCCCACCGAGCACCAAGGTGTTCGCCCTGCCCTTCGCGACCGTCGACGTAAGCCAACACGCTCCTCACTCTAAGAAACCCAGTGTGGTGAACGCTATGTTTGTAACGCGGAGGCTGGGGAGGTGCAGAGTTTGCAGTCTCCACACTTCTAGTGTGGAGTTCTCCCTGTTTCACTGTGGGCCAGAAGACCGGTGGAGGGGATCAAAATTCCCGACGCTCTGCCAACTAAAGTGTGTACGTAGTACACTCTTCACTCTCATTCCAGGAACGCGACATCACGTTGAAACGAACGTTCGTTTGAGCATTGTTTCCACTGCAAAGCCGGTGGTAAGTTTGCATGCCACAAAAATGGCAAGCCGTTTTGCTTGCCGAAAATTTGCTAGCCGTCTCGCTTGCCGAAAATTGGCAAGCCGTTTTGCTTGCCGAAAATTTGCCAGCCGTCTTGCTTGCCGAAAATTGGCAAGCCGTCTTGCTTGCCGAAAATTTGCTAGCCGTCTCGCTTGCCGAAAATTGGCAAGCCGTTTTGCTTGCCGAAAATTGGCAAGCTAGGCCCTGAAATACTCCCCAGCTTGCCAAAATTTGGCGGCTTGGCCGTTCTGCTTGCCAATATTGTGGCAAGCAAAGTTACCACAGGCTTTGCAGTGTCACACTCTTTTGGGTGTAAATCCGCCAAAAATTAGCTTGTTCATTCAAACGAATGTGACATTTTGTCACGTTCGTTTCAACGTGATGTCACGTTCCTGGAATGAGGGTGTTCTTAGAGCATCGTTCCAAGCACACTCGTATTTACAGCATACTTGCTAGGCACACGCTAAATGGAGCAGCTGATTTTTAGTCAAAAATCGAGATTGTAGAACTTGTGCCGTAGCAAATGTTATTTTCTCAATAAAAACATCACATTTGGTATGTCATGCGTTCAAAAATGTCAAATCTCGACCAAGAATCATCTGTCCCATTTTTACCCGTGCCCCATAATTACCCCAACTGACCCTACCCCACACTCGCGACGTTTTGGTGTTTTGGTTCGCAGCTCAGCTACTCCAACTCCACCCAGGAGGTCCTGACGAGACGTTTTGGTTCGCAGCTCAGCCACTCCAACTCCACCCAGGTGGTTCTGACCAACGTGGGCTTCCCGATGTCCGGCAACCTGACCTGCGAGGTGACCACGGAGAACCCGGGCATGACGATGGCCCAGGCCGGGGCCACCATGACCGTCGTGGGTGAGTCTCTCCAGCGTGATGGCGGCGTACAGGCCGCGCAGGGAGGCAGCGAGTGCCGGAGGGAGGCAGCGAGTGCCGTGGCGAGCACCCCACTGTAACAAATCAAATTGGGACTTTACAAAGGTATCTCTGGAAGCCTTTGTGCCAAAAAGGTTACCGAACAAACGCAAAAACGATCTGGGTAAACTTAAGACGCATCTTCCCGTGAGTGCGTTTCGTTTCAAACTTGTGTGCACTAAATTCCTTCCTTCATTTTTTTGCACGTGGTCTCACTCATTTTTTTTTTTTGCACATCTCTCTGCTTTTTGTACGAATTCATTCGAAACAGTTCGCACGTTTAAAACAGTGTGAGGCCACGTCCAGAACTGTACAAAAAAATAGCGTGTGAATTAAGACTTGAAAGCCACCCGCGTTGAAAGCTGCAGCGGGTAACCGCTCCTTGGATGTCACACGCTCGTTCGAATGTGACACCGTCGTGGCACGACGTGACATGGAGCGCCTCGGTCGGTCAAAAGTGACATCGCAACCTGTCACGTTTATACGAATGTGACACTACACGAGTCCAAACGTGCGTGACATTCCCAGACCTCCAGTTCGCAAGAGGGTCGCGTCAAGCCGGGGCGTCAAAATCCCCCCCCCCCTTCCCACAGCTTATTCGGGTTCACCGGTTGCGGGCCTACAAATGGAGACGCCAGTTATAGCCATTGTTGTTGTTTATCAATTACCAGGACGCTCTGTCGAGAATTAGCTCTCCCCCCCCCCTTCTTCCTCCCGGTCGCTGGGACCGCTGGGGCCTTGCTGCTGCTTTTGTGTCTTTATCTCTTCATCCCGCGGGGGTGGGACATCCATCGGGAGCGCCATTAGTTAGTTTGAAAGCTGCCCGGGACCGTGCGTCAAAAGGCTGTGCACTTCTGACTACTGGGAGTGAAAAAAAGAGTAACAGAAAAAGTACAGAAACAAAGTCTGGCCAGAACAAAACTGGCCTGGACCGTCCCTCCTTGCAAACCACAGAAACGTTCTGGTTCTTTTTAAAATCCGTACTTTAAATTTTTGGTACCGCAGAACCATTTTTCGTTACAATGACTTTACCCGCCACGCCGCTGCCGCCTCGGCCGCTGCAGCTGCGGCACATTCTATTAGTTTGGTCACGAACTGAATGGCCCTCCACACCACACGGCCCACCGTGAATGACAATTAAAAATTGAGTGGATGGCCTTTTAGCCATGTTGCAGCGGTGCGTCAATCAGGGATGTGCAAATAGTCCGGTACCGAATAGAATTATCCTGCGAGTCGAATTTTGCAGAGTTCGATCGCGAATGATCCGAAATTTCAAATCTTTCTAGGTGCGTCTATCCCGACAGATACGGGAAGAAGTCACTCAATGGAAAAATATTGTGACATTCGGTTCTGATTCGATTCAAAACGAAATATTCGATTCGCTTACCTGAGTAAAACTTTGGGAGAAACCACATCGCCAGCCAATGAAATTTCACTCGCAATCCCAGAGGGTTTTCGTAAGTTTTTACAAAGAAACCATCAGGAAGTGTAACAAAATACAACTTCAGTTCTACAAAAAGCTTTCTTTTGAACTAAATTTTCACGTTAAAAATGCACTTGGAACCGGTGACAGTGTCCTGCCCAGCACGCTCCCCTTTCCCCGCCTCGTGGTGGTTGGGAGGAGGGGGGGGGGAGTCGCCCCGCTAAGGAAATGAGCCATTCTCAAAACAATCATAAAAGCAAGAAAGTTGTGTTTGTTTCCTCGGTGCAAGCGACCCAATTACAGAGGTGCTTCGCCACGTCCGCGCTGTAAAACTTTACTCCGACTGGAAAGTGACGCGAGCGTGAGGCCTGGGGGAGAGAGAGGGAGAGAGAGAGACGGAGAGAGAGAGCGAGAGAGAGAGAGCGAGAGAGAGAGAGAGCGAGAGAGAGAGAGCGAGAGAGAGAGAGAGCGAGAGAGAGAGAGAGAGAGAGCGAGAGAGAGAGCGAGAGAGAGAGCAAGAGAGCGAGAGAGAGAGAGAGAGAGAGAGAGAGAGAGAGAGAGAGGGAGAGAGAGAGCCACTGCCGCCAGGACAGTGTCGCGGACCCACAAATCCGGGGAATGCGGGTCGGGCTTCGCTCGGCTTCGCTTCACTTGACGGCAATGGCTGCTTCGGCCCTCTTTTGAGTTCAACAACTTTCCTCTTCCGTTCCTCAGGCTGCTGCTACTGCGGCTGCTGAGGGAGCTCGCCGCTCCTCATGGAGCATGGCCGGCCCGGCCGGAAGGTTCACCTCTCAGGAGGAGGCGGTGGAGAGAGAGAGAGAGAGAGGGGGGGGGGGGGGGGCAGGGGAGACGAAGAGTTGGCGTGCGCTCTGCCCTCTGCCTATGGAGACCAGTTTAGCACATCCGAAGCGCTGACGCGGCGCGGCCTCCACATCCTTTTCTACACGACTAAGCACAGCCCCATTCCCCCTTCTCTCTCTCTCTCTCTCTCTCTCTCTCTCTCTCTCTCTCTCTCTCTCGCAGGGCGGAGGAGGCCCGAGGCGGTCGGGTCCCCGGGGCGTCTGGAGGCTGACGGCCGGTCTGAAAGGCCGCTACTTCCGCTCTCCATTTACCCCGCGGCGCGCTGCAGGCCGTCGCTGTCTCTCTCGCACTCATGGGGCTTCTCGCATAGGTGCGAGAGAGACAGAGTGACGATCCTCGGAATCAGTCCGCTAGGCTAAGGCTGCCCCGCTGGCCTGCAGCCTCATTGCGGGCAACACCTGTCAGCGCCACACACAGCGCCGTTGAGGCCCGGCGCCCAGGGCGGCACGCGAGGAACCGCTTTTAGCAGTGCTGTATTCGCACTAGTTGATTTGTGCGGAGACTGCAAATTCCGCACACCTCCACATTCCAAGAGTGGGGTTCTCCGAACTTGTTTTGACGGTGTGCAGTGCTCCTCTCGCATAGTGTTGCTCTGCTCGGCTGACTGCCACCGAAAGTTTCATGAATACGCGGGAACGTGATCACAAGTAAAGTTCTTAATGGCAAAGTTGAATCGGAATCGTGGCGGCGGGAGGTGGACGGGACCGTTGCATTGTTATCCCGAGTTGCAAGAGAAGCGAGGCACGCACCGAAAACAACAACAAAAAACGTTTCCTGGCTTTCCAAGGAACTTCCTGGAAATCACCTGACCTGGGAATACCAGGAACCTTTTTCGCTTTGTGGTGCAGAGGTCTGGTGGTGTGACTGCGTCCATTGCAATCTGACAGAAGTAAAAGTCTTCAATTGCAGCTGCACGCTTGACCGACGCCTTCAACTACAGTTGGATCAGTCACAGTTGGCGGGACTAGGACCAAAGAAAACCTTAAACAGCCGACTCTTTTCAGGGGGTCTCATTGTCTGAGTCCTTACTGTGCCTGTTCCGATCATTATAAGGGTTCGATCCCTTTGTAAGGTGCAGGTTCCGGCGCATCTTGGGGACTGTCTGCCACCATAATGTCTCAAAGAACAGGCCTGCATAGCAAAGGCTCGCCGGCCCACCAACTTTGACTGAACAAAGCATAAACGCTTCAGTTTTTCCTGTGAAACATACTCGGCAGGGTTTTCGCACAGTGTGGCGGGCTGGCGGACGCTGCGGGGCGGGCAGTCCAGTGGACCGCGAGTGCGCTCTGCTTCGCCGCGCCTGTGTGTGCCACACTGTGCGGCGACCGCGCGGCGGTTCCGCAAAAGTAAAGTCAACACCGCGTTGACTAGGGGGCGTTGGGCAGCGGCAGGGTCGCCGCAGCGCTCGGTCCGGCCGTCCCACAGTGGGCCACAAGACCGGTGGAGGCGGACAAAACTCTAGACGCGTTTTGAGCTCCAGCGTCGCTAACCAGGACTCGAACGGAACGTGTGACCCCACCAATGGATTACTCTCGCAACGAGGAATCCATTGGTGGGGTCGCACGTTCGGTTTGAGGCCTGTTTAGTGACGCTGGAGCTCAAAACACGCGTAGAGTTTTGTCTGCCTTCACCGGTCTTCTGGCCCACTGTGCGTCCGGTCCGGCCGTCCGGCAGCCCGGCAGTGCGACCCCACAAAGTACTTTGCGGTCGCCGACCACACGCCCCCGCCCGCCGGTGTTATTGGCTGAGCGACAATCCGACGAGGGTGAATAAACAACTGTTGTGCGGACGTCTGTCTCTGTCTTTCTCTCTAGCTGTCTCCGTCACCGTCCCCCCCCCCTCTCTCTCTCTCTCCTCTCTCTCTCTCTCTCTCTCTCTCTCTCTCTCTCTCTCTCCTCTCTCTCTCTCTCTCCCCGCCCCCCCAACAACTTGATTGTTTCAAAATCATCTTCAGTTTATTCTAATTTATTGCAGTTCCATTCGTTGTCTTTCATCATTGACTTCTAATTCATCTTCATTCAACTCCCTCTCTTCTTCCTCTCAATTGCCTTCCATCTGTCTTTCAATTCTTCCACATTCGATTGTCATTCATTTCACCCTTTCTTCAACTTTTCATTCATCTTTTATTCAACGTAATTTTTTTTGTCAAGGTTTTATTTTCACCATTCATATTCGCTCAGTTGTCATTCATTTCATGACACATCTTCATTCATTTTCACCATTCGTCTCCACTCGATCGCCAATCATTTCCATCATTCATCTACATTGGCGTGTCATTCATTTGTATCATTCACCTTCATTTAATTTCCATTCGTTGTCATCATCCGTATGCATTCATCCAACCGGCAGTTGTGATCCGACTTCCTTCCTTGCCGTGCATTCGCCTTCATTGAATAGGGTCGACTGTAGTCGGCCTGCTGTCGTTCCCCGACCCCGGCACGGCCGGGCATGGCGCGGTGTCCGCCGCCGATGTCTCCAAGTTAGACGAAGCCGGCGCGCTGAATCCGGGAGTCGTCTTAGTTGCTCTGTCTCTCTCGCACTCATAGGGCGTCCCGTGTGCGTGCGAGAGAGACAGAGCGAGGAAAACAAATCAGCGAGGAGGCGGCACGCGGTGCCGTTGCCGCAAGTCCCTATTCCGCCGCTTGAGGTGGGCCGGCCG